TCCCCCCCCCCCCCCCCCTACTCTTCTCTCTGCTGATTTACCCAAAATGTTACATTAGCATTACCTGAATCTCAATGCAGCTTTTTATGCAGTTCTCCTTATTAGGAAAGAAAAATGGACCCAAATACTTCCAGGAAGCAGCCTGGCATTAAGGCATTTGTATCACAGTGATTGTGGCTCTGGCATTTCACAAACATTTGGTTAATCATTTATTATTAAACACCTATTTAACAAACATCACTTTTGATATGAGTGTTTACACTCTTTTACTGTAATTCCAGTGGAACCGTTAGACTCATGCAGACTATGTAGATATACTGTAGGTTAGTAGATAGATATAGGTACTGTATGGTACATAGATATGGTAGATAAATATATAATATGTAGATATGCAGATACATTGATAGATAGACTGATAGATAAATAAAATGATAGATAGATAGATACACAGATACATAGATGTAGACTTAATTGACAGGTGCTGATTGTGTCTTTTAGGATATTTTTCTTAATGTGTTGTTGTCACTGTTACCATATTTAGGTCACCTGAGACTAATACTCTCACTAGAGTTGCGTATGCTGAGTTATGATATTGTCTGTTGACTACTCCTCCTGTTCTGTTCAAGTCTCTTCCATTTTTGAACACTTGCATGCATCCCCAGGCTCTGCTTTACTTTTGTTGGTTATTAAATTACAAAAATTTACCTTTTTCACTGATGATTTCACCTTGTATTTGTAATCACACTTTATACCTGGTAAAGATTGTGTCTTTTATTTCTAACTCTTGCAGGGCAAATTTACGCATGTCCAAGCCACCACCAGAGCCGAGGCCTCCTAGTATGGTCAGCGAGTCCTCTGTCACCGTCTCCTCATCCCCTGCGGACACCACCTCAGGATCCAGGGTGAGAAGCCCAGCCTCGTTTAGTGCTGATCTGAGACTGTTTTAATGTGGTAGTAGTACTGATTCTCAATAAAGGCAAACATTTACACAGAGCACTTCCGGTTCCTGAAAGTGCCAAGCTGGCTAATTATCTAGCGAGCCTGACCATTACTAATGTGTGTGTGTATTTCATATTAAATCATTGAAAACTGATAATGTTTTTATAGGTAATGGGGAGAGTAAATTGGCCTCATCTATTTTGGCTATATTCCTCCAAATTTGATAAATGACCCAAGCCGAAGGTGTAATAGGTTACTGATTTTTCTAGCACCAGAGAAGCTGGACTTAATCTCCTGTGCGGTTGGCTGCAATGTGCAGAGGTCATGAGGTAATACTGCATAGAACATCTGCAGGGGATTGAGAAATGCACAGAACGCCTCTCGCTACTTCCTGCTAATTAAATCTGTGCGTGTGGCACAGTTACACTCAAGGTGTAAATGCAGTAGAACTGTTTTACTGGTGCCCCTAATACTTTGTCTTGGTCTAGTGCATTAATATACACTGCCATATGTAGAGTTTTTCCAGGTGTTAAAGAACATGGGCTGTAATAGAGGTCGAATAACTGACAAGCTCTTACATTTCAGGCTGGGTGTTAAGCGTTTTTCATTTGAAATTTTTAATACATTTAAAATATGTAATTAATAAAATTGTATTATAAATATAATTAATTACAAATAATTTTAATTAATATCTATATAAAAGTGGGTGTTTATTTCTACCTACATAAATTGTGTGTATGTGAACACAATATTATTTATATAATTTGTAATTACATAAAATTTTTAAAATATATATATATATATATTTACATATTTTTAGACAACATGTTGTTTATCATAACTCATTTTGCATGCATACATACATTTCTCGAGTTTCACTGGTAATGGGAATGCAGAGATGCAGATATTTCTCCCTATTAGAGAGTGATTTTGACACATTGAAGTTTTAATGGCCTGGCCTGACACACATTGGCTGTGTCACTGTGTGGTAAAGAGTCTGATGCTGGCCTGTCAATGACAGGACTGTGTCAGCATCATATGAGCGTTCACAAACCGATCGATCCATCCCAGAGGCCCTCATCTCTGCGCACACACACACAAGTTGGGTTTCCATGTCCCATAAGGGACATTCCATAGGCCTAATGGTTTTTATACTGTACAAACTGTGTTTTCTATTGCCCTCCACCAACCTAAACCTACCCCTCACTGGAAACTTTTAGCATTTAAAAAAAGAATAAAAAAAATCTTTGAATTATAAGCTTGTTTCCTCATGGGGACAAAAAAAATGTCCCCACAAGGACAAGGATTTTGGATATTGCCATCTTTGTTAAGACATTTTGTTCCCATAATCTAGGGTTCACCAGGAACCACACACACACTTTACTGGTAATAAACCAGGCTCCAGGCTTGTCATTGTCTCACAGGAAACAAACCAAATATGGGCATCGGAAGGCACATGGGGAGCAAGACACACACAAAACATGGAACAGAGTCTGACACTAGTGATGCGCGGATGAGCTAAAACGTCACCCGAATCCGCAGCTTCAAATAAATTATCCACCCACCAACCGCCCGCACCTGTATTTTTGTCTGATTTAGATAACCGCACCCGACCCGCACCCGATCATCACATTAGGGTTCGTACGGTCATGAAAAACCTGGAAAAGTCATTGAACAGCAAACGGATATAACCGCCATCTGTGCATCACTACTGTGCACATTTGGGTTGACAAATGATCAGTTGAATTGAACTTTATACGGATCAAGATTAATAAATGCAACAAACCCTGTTATTGTAAGCATTTTGCAGCAAAAGTGTTTTCCTTGAACATAAATTGGCTCCAGAATGTTTTTTTGGCACTTTGGCCACACATAAAAAATAACCAAGTCAAGCATCCAAATGCTTTTGGATGCCACTTTACCTTACTGATGCCTATGTATGCAGCATTTTTAATCAAATCAAATGAAGCAAGTGGTTTTCTTTTTTCTTTTTCCACAGAGTTTGAAACCCAGTGGGAAGGTGCATTGCTTTGGCAAGCGTGACCATTCCATCAAAAGGAACCCTAATGTCCCAGTGGTGGTAAGAGGATGGCTCTACAAACAGGTGCGGCCCTCAAAAGTGAAACCCTAATGCGAGTGATTACAGAATCTAATTTTGATCTGAACTGAATAGTGTTCAGATGTTAGATTAGTTCTTAATTAGGCCTTATGATGACCTAAGACCCACAGGCAATAAGCTGATTAACTGAACATGTTATTCAACATAGCATATTAGATAAATATTCAGTCTAAACAAAGGGGACATATTCTGTTACACCAAATACACAAAATAATGATCTTTAAAAGAGCATCATATGACCCCTTTAAATGCTAATACTAATATTTACATTGGTTGGATGATGTTGGATGATGAACTGAGTGTTATTTTATTTTTATTTTTATTTTTTTTTCTGAAAATGATTTTGTGGGCCGATTATTGTTCTTCCACCATCAGGACAGCTCAGGCATGAGACTGTGGAAGAGGAAATGGTTTGTGTTGTCTGATTACTGCCTGTTTTACTATAAAGGTGAGTTATAATACTCAGCTTTAATTAGCTGCAATTATCTAAAACAGTCTCTAATTTTATTGCACAGTAATCATGTTTTATAAGTAAAACACATAATTTCTTTAATACATTATTATGAGAGTACCTATAATTTAATACGCAACAGCAGGTTTTTCATTTACAGTTTTTATCCCTATTGCTTGCACATATCATATTGAATAATCATATGATTTTTACACAGTTCACATTAAGTATAGCACTGTTTTGATCTTTAATCATTTTGGTGGACAGAGTGGCGTCTCACTTACTTTCTGTCATCTGTGTTTAAGAGTATTGCCAACAAACAAACTAACCACTGTTCAATTGTAATCTAATCATTTTCAAATATTTTCACCTAACATCTGTACTTTGCTCACAGATAGTCGAGAGGAGACGGTTCTGGGTAGCATTCCTCTGCCCAGCTATGTCATTTCCCCCGTGGGACCCGAGGACCACATCAGTCGCAAGTATGCCTTCAAGGTAAGAGCATCATGATAATCTGCACTCTAATGCTACTCTGTTCCTGTGTGTAGGCTCACCTTCACTGGCTTCATTGGCTACGCCTTCAGGAAGTCTGTGTCATGTGGCGTATTATCAGTGGTGTTGTGTGGGCAGCAGTCAGGGATGACTGATTAATGTGGCAGTTGTTTGGCTCCTCTCTCTGCCCTCTTCTGACCACACAGCCCACTGAGTAAGCTTTCTCTGCTCAGGGTGCTCACAACCTCATAAGGGACTCAACTAAAACTCTGCTTGTTTTAACTAATAGCATCATGTTCCTGTACTCAGTTATCTAATGGCGCTTTTCCACTGCATGGTACGGCACGATACGGCTCGGTACGGTTCACTTTTGGGGTGTTTTCCACTGGGTACAGTACCTGGTACCTGGTACTTTTTTTAGTACC